ATTGGATTTAGGTCAAAAATGCATCCAATTTGGGTTTCATAAGCGTTTGATTCGGAAAAGGAAAATGGGTCTGCCTAGTCGAAAAATGGCCCATATGTACACATGGACCAAGTAGGTGAGTGCGCAACATAGAACAGTTCGCTCTCGGGTTCGCCAAATTGTAGGACTTATGTTCGCAAGGCTTGGAAGCCATGCAAGCACATGGTTATGCCTTTTGGGACCAAATTAGCAATTTCCTCAAGGGTGCTTTTTGGTCCTTTTTCATGCAATTTCACTCATTTGACTTCGGATCTTATCCAATTCATCACGTTTGATCGTCAAGCAGGGCCAGTCTTGTGATCGTCGGGGCCCAAGGCGAAGTTCATGAATTGGGCCCCCAACGAAATCAACGTAAATGCAAAATTCAACGGAATATCTTGCATCCTATTACTAATTTAAAATTTAATATTAAAACAACAAACAAATATATTAATCTGACGGTATATTACGCAACCTAATGTCTAATGATTAACCTAAAAGACAATTACGAAATATCTCAATCATCTCACAATTAGAGTTTTCAATATAATTACTACGTACGCTTATACAATTGTTGATCATATAATAATCAATCATATAAGCCGACCAGGCCACCATTATATAAGCCGACAAGGCTTCAAACATTTCCAATATATTCAATAACAAGCTAGGGTAAGTTATTGTTGAATTGAGAAGTAAAATTTCAACGAAAATTATGGAATCACACGCTTAAGAATTCCACCTTCACAATTCATAAGCCTGAAATAAAAATTTCATCATTACACAATGTCCTATTGCCTTATGCCAGTCAGAGATGCTAAATAATAAATAGATACCAAATGTGATGCAAGTTCAAGTAGGACACACATTCTTGGATCAAGATATGTTGAACAAATTCTCATTTTCCATTTGCATATCCAATAACATTTTCGATTATTTACGCAAAAATTTAAGCATTACAAATTTACAAAAACAGTACAAAATTAAAATGACATACAAACTCTAGAGTTGTCCCAAAAAATTTGTGACCTTGTTTTGATGAAATTAAAATGGATCGCCGGTCGCACTGTCACAAGCACGAGAAAAAACGAATGAAAAACCAATTTTGCCTTTAACTCTCTAAACCCTTAAAAAAAAAAATAGAGAGAGAGAGAGAGAGAAAGGGGCCAAAATTAGGCCCTCTTTGGTTTTGGGCCTGAGGCACAGGCCTCAAATGCCCCGACTCAGGACCGGCTATGTCGTCAAGCAGCATTTTTGGTCTGAATCAACTACTCAATGTTGGCAATTTAGTCCCAAAACTTTGAAATTTATCTTTTTTTCATAGATTTTCATTCATTTCTTCCAATTCTACCATTTTACATCAAGTTTTACCTAACAAACATGATTAATGTAGCCACAGATCCCAGCTTCTCTTCCATTTTATGTATATTATATGCACACTTGAACACCATGTTAAAATGCTCGTGATCGTAGCTCGGATGGAGTAAGATGGTAATAGACACTGACACTCAAGTTAAATGGTGAAGAAAGTATTTGACTATGAGAGAGATACAATGAACAAGAAAAATGGATTCTGGGTTGAAAAGAAAATACCAATTTTGCAATATGAGAGTAGAGCTCAAAATTGCATTCAAAGTTTCAATTAAATTCCAAGAGAGAGAGAGAGGGAGAGAGGGACTTCAATTACTTTCAATGTTATTCATTTCAATAGCCCTGTTACTAAACTTAATGTCACAATTCTACACGCTCTACGTTTTCAAGAAATTATATTGACTAATCAAGTCATGCCTACAAAATTTTATAAAAAAAAAATTATATTTTACAAACTAACGATAATTCATCCAATTTGACAGAACATACTCGATCTCTATTCATCCCCAAATTTAAATTTTTGTTGTTAAGATGTAATCAGGCGATATATTTATTGAGAAATGAGGGATAATGAAGATTCAAAACACTAGTTATTAAGATAAGAGTGAATAACATTGAAAAGAAATTGAAGTTCGATTATATAGTTGTGTATAATTGAAATTTCATTAAGCCTCTGTTCTGTTTGGATTATAAAAATTAAATTTTTAGTATATTATGATAAAAGTTGGTGGAATATATGGTCAAAAAGTTTTGGATCCCATGAAATATGTGATTAAAATTTAATATTGACTTTGTTTTAAATTTCAATTTACTTTTTTATCTAAACCAAACAAGAATTACAATTTAGTGAAATAAAATGAAATTAACCCAGTACTAAATACTAAAAAAAATCAATTTCCACGTGTAGGCAGAAGATGACAGACGTATTCATGGGCGGATCTACAGTGGGGACGATGAGGTAACCTGCCCTCGCAATAAATTTTAAATATAAAAATTTTGACTATATTTTCCAAAAATTCCTTAATAGTTTTCAAATTCGCCGTCACAATTTTAAAATCCAAGCTCTGTCCTTGAACGTATTTGAATAAAGAATTAAAGTACTAGTACCTTTATTTTGAACTACTATTACGTTCTTTGATGTGTCAAAATCATGTCCATTGATTTGAATGTGCGAAATGAATGTACATGTAGCAGTTTTGTTGAATAAAATGCACTCACACACAAGAATTCCTTAGATTTAGTCAATCTGATGTGTGCTTTTCTTTTATATATTCATTTGATACTTTTTCTTGCCGAATTTGATGACCCTTAAATTTTCTGCATTTTCACATTTGTGCATATAAAAAGCACTGATTGAAATCTTTTGGAGACTTCTTATAACCACATTTTTCAAACTTGGGAAATGCCAAAAGAATATTTCAGGCAGAAGTATGTGTTTTTCCGCTAAAATTGATATGCACTTGAGCTTTATATATCTTTCTTGTTTTGTTATTAAGAAAAGCCAAATTAATAGGCTTTAATAGTTAGATGTTGTTTAGATAAGATTTTATGTAGAGCTCTTGGGAGTCTTCGTATCCACGCTCTCATCTTTATATACATGTTTATTTCATCGAATCTCTTTCCGATCCAATACAATTGTATATCTACATTATGCGGATAGGGGATCTCTTAACCAACCCTACTCTTGAAATAGAACACCCTAATATGTAAGAAGACCTAATCGGCTAATCCAATTGTTGCTATATTTTTCAATGTGTGTGTGTAAACTACATCATCCTACTATCAGAGTAGACAAATCAAATCTCATGATTAGCACCCATTTATGAAAAAATAAAACGTATTAATTAGAGCTTTTACCAAAAGATCAATTCGATGTATTCGTGAAGGGATGTGTTGAAAACCAAACTTCAAAGAATAATTATGTCACATCTCTATCAAAACGTATGTATATTGTCTATATATCTAGCTAATTGGAACCATACTTATGAAAGATATCTAGCAAAACATGAAATCTAACACGTGTAAAAGTTTTTTTAATCATTTAGAAGGGAATACAGGCAGACGTTAATGTCTTCTGGATGTATATTCACACCTTAAAACATGTTTATATACTACCTCAAACTTTGACTTACTAATTTTTCATTACACACTGACTAATTCATCTTACAGCATCAAACAATTGAAATCACCTTCCGGAAGAGCCATCAAATTCTTCCCAATTTTCAAGAGAACCTGCAGAGCTAGAAGAATTTCAAAAATGTGATTGCAATCTTGGAAGCCCTTGTTCTTCTTGCTGTCGAAATGCTCATCGTTATATTTGTTGAGAATGGAGAAACAGACGTTCCTTCAAAGTACAAATTATTAAGTGTAGTGAGATAACTGCCAAATTGAGCAAATATTGAACTCTTTTTGGGAAATTGGACTTAAGGTCTGTTGCAAGATGGAACTTGGGTGGAAAAAAAAGGAATTTCGGGGAATTGAATAGCCTAAAACTTGTTTTACTGAAAATTGTTAATTAAATATGCTTGATTGGTATAATTTTTCACTGGAAAAATGTTGAAATTTTAGGTTTTTTACTGTTCATTTGGCTTTGTTTTCATGAAAAATGGTCAACTAAAGGGATGAAATTTGTTACAATTGTGGATAGAATTTTTTTTCCATTGAAAAAATAAAAAAAAAAAACACGGAAAACCCAATTCCCACCAAAACCAAAGGAAATTGCTTTCCTTAAAAACCAAGAAAATTGGTCACATGGGAGGAAAGATGGAAAACCAATTCCATGGAAATTTTTTGCCATCAAACATGCATTTTGGATCCATTTTCCCAGGAGAACCAAGCCTATCAAAGAGGCTCTTGGTTTTATTTCGTTTAAATCTAAAGTGCTGCTTCGTCGTGTGCAAGAGTTTAGCATATCAAGCAGCAATCACTTGAGTTTAGGGGATTTACTCATCGGTGACGCGCACACTTCTTGTAATGGTTCATGAATTCTCCGCCCTATTTAGTTCATTGAGTTGTTATTTGATCAGGTTCGCAAGCTTCTATAGTTGATTTGTAAATTTAAGATTACGATTTGGGTCTGGAATAGAAGGGCATAATATTAACAACTGGCCACTTAAAACTGAAATTGAAATTTACAAAAATACAAATAGTCCATGAACTTTGTTTTATGTTCCAAATCCACCCTCAAGCTGAATATAATTCCAAAATAACCCTCAGACCCACTATAATTTTTCCTACTTGTCAACATTTCCACATCAAAACTAATGGGATCCTTGAAGGCAATAGTATGTAAAAAGGGTCGTCAAGACAAAAGTTTTCTTCAAAAGAGAAATTTCTCTATATCATTCAATTCTCCTAAATCTTTCTCTAGTATTATAGTTCTTTGAATTACAAATCTCCATTCTACAAGGTATCCTTTTCTATCTCCTCTCCATAAACCACATATAAAATTATGCAATATGAACACTAACTCGTCTTGACACTTGCACACATCCACAATATGGGAAAATACAGTACTTAGGCTAACCTTAGGCAGCTTGAGGGGCGTGCTATCAGAGCAAGCTGGATGCGAACACAACACGAATTTAAAAGGATAGTGCACGTTGCAAGACTGAAGAAGATAAAATAACTTGGACTTCAAGCATGAACAATTTACTGTTAAACCACAAGTTTATCAGCCCAACATACCCAAAACAATTCTGTAGATTTTTACCAACCTCAAGTTAGTCAGCTAAGTTGGTTGTCCGACATCAAAGTTACTAGCAGTAGTCATAATAAACACAATTTTTAGGTTGCAAAAAAAAAAAAGGGAAACCTTGTTTATCCTAGAAACTTACGTCACACCAGTATCAAGGATATATCTCAGTAGGGCCCGCGAATAAATAATGGGAAGAGACGGGAATGCTTCCTTGAGATCTTATGGATTCTGGGGCTTTTGGTTGCACAGCTGATGCAGCATATACGACTGGGGGTGCTGGGTAGGAGCTGTGTCCGGCTGCATTGGGTTGTCGTTGCACAGAAGACGAAGGATATGAGCCGTAGGAGCCATATGCAACCACTTCATCTTGATGCAAGACTTCTCTCTGTACAGGTAATCTACGATATTCACTTCTCAAGCCAGGGAGTTGATCATGTACACCCCTCCCTTGCACTGTCCCATATCTGTCAGAGAAGCAATTCAGAAACAGCAAAGCATGGTTCAGTTTCTTGATTGAAGAGAAAGACAGAGAGAGAGGGAGTTACGAGGCCAAAGTACGCGCATAATGCAAACAACAAAATCCGACAAGAACATATATGCTAGAAAAATTACACTCAGAGAAAGTGGAAACATGATAGTACATTATTTATTGCTGTCTAACACTAAGTTAAAACCGGACTCGTCTATTTTAAAGAAAAATCTGTTTTTCCCCCTTTTTCTATTAGTTTTTTTCATTCATTTTGTTGGATGAAAGAAACTTCAGGCATGGGTACCCCTACAGACATATTTCAGTAAACTCAACTGCACAACGGATATGCCAAAAACGACTTGGCACATTTGAAGCTCAGTAGGAAGACTAAACTATAACATGATGGCACAATAACTGAACTTCTACTGCTGCAAAGATAGATAAAAAAAAAAAATAATAATAATAATAATAATAAAATAAAAAAAATTCCTATGATGCAACATCCTCTTCTAATCATCATAAATAAGAAATACGATGCTAAGCCACACAGCAGCTCCCAAGAAAGCATGAGGTTGAAACAGAGAATCCAGAAAAGAAGAGGAAGAGAAACAGCGATGCAAGGAGAGGGGAAACAGACATCATGCAATGGCAGAAAAAGTTTGGGAAAGAATACTGTAACCAATGTGTAAGCACGAATACACACCGCATTCATAATTGATTCAAGGTAGAGACATCACTTTCCCGGACCTTCATTGTTGACAAGAAATGCAATTTGTATATTAATTCATTCGGATTTCAAAATATTTCAAAAGTTGTAAGCACGTGCATTACCAGTTCTCACCAAATTACATATATTCAGGATTAAAAGACATGAACTATAACAAATATTTTTTGACATTTCGACATGAACTATAACAATTAAGAAACGGAAGATACTGGATTATTCAAACAAAGTACTTGTACCTTTACAATGAAATAGTATCACCAAATTTTTTTTTCCCTGAAATAGTTCATTAGAAACACAAAACCTTCTACCAACCCCTCCCTCAGCCCATAAAAGGCAAACCAAAAGGAAGGAAAAACATAAAACCTGGAATGGGGTTCCTGCATGGAATAGGCACGTCCTTCACTGAAGTGTGGCTGTCGAGATTCAGCAACATAATACAAATTATTAACAGGCAGTCCTCGATGCTCTATGGCTGGATGAGCAAGTTCCATATATGCCGCTGTTCCATGATATCCATGCTGCAGAATATGCACTGGCTGAACAGGTTGGTGCTCCATTACTGATCGACCATGATAATATTGCACCCCATCATGTCGTTCCACCATTGCTGAGGGAAGTCTTGCCCTTGATAATGACACATTGGGCAGAGTTGGGGGCTGACGTTGGGATGAAGCACCAAGAGGACGAAACGATGATAACAAGTTTTTCACCTACATTATATAAGAGAGCTCTTTGCTAAGTATAAAACATCAAGGATAAGAAAGATGGACTAAACTCCACAACCACATAACAAACAACAATCTTACTTGTGTTCCACTCAGTTCTTGCTTGAACTTCCGGCCCTCGTAATTCTCCTTTAGAACTTGTTTAAGAGAACTTTCATGCAAGGGAAGACACTCCTTGAAAATTTTGAACTTTACCTGAAAGACAGAAATGAGCAGCCTAAAAAAAGGTATAGAAAAATGTAGCTTGTCAATCGCACACGGGGTGAAAGTTGAAGAATACAAGCATCATCTCTATAAATAAACTAATACAAGCATCATCTCTATAAATAAACTTACCCCGTAGATAAAACTCATGTCAGTGAAGCATAGATCTCATTCAAAGATGTCATTATATTCTTTTTCTTTTCTTCTCATGTTCTTAATTTCCCTTCCTTTAAAAAATTATTTTTAACGAAGTTGTCCCCCTACTGCTTATGATGAAAGAAAACAGCAAAATTATTTACCTGTGCAGGAAATTTTCCTCTAAATGCATCAGGTTCCAAGTTCATTGTTCCAGCAGAGGTAGCCTCATACACACCATATAGCTGCTTCAACACAAAATCGAACAGAAAGAGCTTAGTGCCAGGCTTTATGGCCTCTACCACTTCCTTCTTTCCCACGGGAAGCCCGAAAACACGGTACTGGTAACATTCTAATTTCGTATCTTGATTACACATGAAGATAAATCCAGAAAGGTGCTTATTTGTTTCATTTTCCATCTCTCTATTCTGTGAGGCAGCTCTATTTTCCTCACTAGGCAGAGCAGAAGTACTCGCTTGCACAGGGTCAGTGAGAGGAGCAGGAACAACAGCATTTTTGGTTTCAACCTTAAGAACCTTATTCTTCTTTTTAATTTTACCATTTGGTTGGTTCATATTTTGTCCTTTCTTTTTGAGTTTCTTGCCATTTCCCTTGGCCATGAACAAAGCTGATATAGTAGCAAGAGATGATGTACTTCTGTAATTAACTCAAACACATAAGCACCCAAAACAAAGGCTGAGAGTGACATAAAATAACCAAGAAATTACTCAAAAAAGTTGTCAAACAATAAAAATACAAATGATCTTATATAAAAATACAGTAGGTCAAACTCAACTACCGTAGTGCAAACCATTGAAAATTTACGAACTGCTTAAGAATTTGAAAATCACATAAATAAGAAAATCAGAGCAACAAATTTTCTATTTCAAATGCTTGACACGCCATTATATTATATAATATCAACATTATTCACCCAAATGAAGATTAATTAGACAAGAACTAACCTAAGTTAATAAAAATATTGAACCTTGAGACTAACCTGTTACCAGCAGCAAAAGCAAGATGAAGGACTCTAAAATGGGGTTTGTTTTCTTATTTTCTTAAGACAACTGGACCTATATTAAGGTTCAAACCCACCTTAAATATGGAGTTAATACATAGAGTTAAGTTTAATTTGATACTCTGTCAGATCTACACACAGAACATATGGTTCGGCTTCTTAGGATGAAATTTTCAGGCTAGAGATGACATTATTACAATGCGGGGCCCATTTTACAAGAATAGAATAACGAGATTCAACAAAAATTTACAAAAAAAGACTTATTAGATAACAGTAATAAATTCAAGAACTACTACAAGTTGCCCCGGTGGCTTAGTCAACGACACCATATGAATATTTTCTCTTCCGTCCACGAGGATTTGAAAACCTATTTTTTGCTTTTCCTTCAATGAGGATTGCATAAACAAGCTTTACACCCTGAATTCCTCAAGGCATTACCTTAGACAGAAAGCAATTTACAATGAAAACTCTTGAACATACTTCGGCTGGGGGCTAGGCTTTGACAGATCAAAACTGGGGCTTCGTTACCACCAACCCTTCAAATTTGCTTCTTACCACTCGGCTAAAAGCTCTTGAACCAATAACCATGTATACATACCGTCTATGATGCTCGGACTCGAGTACAGGTACGTATCTAAGTGTCGGATCTTTTATTTTCTAGAATGTACGATACGGGGGTATGATTAAAAAAGTCCAAATTTCGGATACGGGTACGTGGGTATGTCTTTTAAACTTCATTTTTTTTTTTTCCCCAAAAATTCAAATGTAAAAAGTTAAATAAATACTAAGTAGAATTTTAATTAAAAAGGCCCAAAATTTTAAAAAAAAAAAAAAAAAAAAAAAAAAGAAAGGCCCAGCTCAACAAAGAACCACAATTTTAAAAAAAGGCCCAACAAACTCTTTATCTTGCCTTTCCCTATTCCCTATTCTTCACTTCACGTCATTACCGACGGTGTGACTTTTGCAAGTCTTCATCTTCCAACTTGTAAATTCCAGAGGAGTAGCACGGCAATCGCGCTACCTCTCCCAACACTGGCTCCGTCGCCGATGAGGATTCTTCGGACTCAAACTTGGATTCAATGAAGAACCCAGCTTCCTAATCATCTGTCAAGTCAAGATTAGCCGTGTCCGATTGATTTTTGCCGTGTCCGCCCCATATCCCATACCCGTACCCATGTCGTGTCGGGTCGACATGGGTACTCCGGCCAAAGTGAAGAGTCCGAGCATCACAGCATACCACAAAATGAACATATATTTCGAGAAATATGACTTGTGGTTAACTTAATATGAGGATTCTGTAGAAAAAATCTTAAAGTTATTAAATTCCGTGTTTATGTGGCAAACAAAATGAACCTGCGATCTTAAGAAGCTGTTATTTATCTTCTCTAGGAAGCACGCATAAGCTGGAAAGGCTAGAGTGTCGGTGTCCGATGCAACACTGACCCGCAGTGATACACCCAAATGCGTGTCATATTCACCACTGGTGTGTCCATTTCCTTCCATCAGTCAAGCCGATGACATACCGAAGGCACACGGCTGACAGGATTCATAAGGAAAAAAGGGAGAAATTGCAAAGGAAGTAAGAGGCACTAAGCTGGATTGACAAACAACAGAAACAAGCATATTACATAATCTACTCGCAGTCAATAGGTGACATATTTATTTAATTAAGTGCTTCATGCCCGTCTTCCCTTACATGGGGATAAACCCAGTTACATTACAGTACAAAAAATGAAATAACAATGCCCCCTAAGGAATAAACAATAATAAAAAGTCAAAAAGAATGCATATAATTGGCATCAATTAACTTTAAAAAGTGATTTTGCATCGTTACTTGCAATGCACGAAATGCCAGAAGAAGTTACCATTAATGAATAAATCTGATTTAGTCAATATTTTTAAGGAGTTAAAAAGTTTCAGGTTAAGGAAAACCAACAAAACCTACTTAATCAAAGTACACAAGTTATCTTGCGAACAGGTTAATTATCTTTGAAACAACAAGTGTATATTAATTCTCTATTCTAATTCTTCAAAAGAAGAACAATTTTTTGAGTTAATACTCTTCTATTGTTGCTCCTCATTACCTTTTTTATCCTATTTTGAAATACAACCATCATTAAATAGTATATTCCTTTCAGATTTTCGAATTTTTTATCTTCTGCAAAAACAATTTTACTGCATAAATTTGTGGAACCTGCATGTGGGTTCATTAGGTTTTCACCAGCTAGTTTACTGGAAAAAGTCCAGCAAATCATACTCAAAATAGACAAAAACTCCACTCTTAGAAACTAATCTCGAGTTCACAATCCAACAGAGTTTTGAAAATATGCATCCAGATAGCATCTGAAGGAATTAAATTACCAAGACAGAAAAAGGGATCCAGAATGTAGGACTCTGGAAGCCAATCAAAGCATAAAATTAACTATACCGGGCTCAACTACATTGGCTGATAGTCAAATCACAAATCATTGTCATTCACAATACCAATTATTATTCCAAAAGAGCTAGTGTTTCAGGAAATGATAATCCTATACTTCAGTCACTAACCCATTAAAACTTACAGCACAGCCCCAAAAAAAAAAAAAATAATGATGATGATGATGATGATGATGATGATGCAGTAAAACTTGGTTGAAAAAATGGGTGTATCATTAATTAAACTGGGTTCAACTACATTGGCTGAAAAATCGTATTACTCAGAAAAACTCATGATTCAAGAAATTGTAATCCTTTACTTCATTCAATAACCAGTTTAAAGTTCCACACATAAAAAAAATAATAATAATAAAAAGAAACCCTATATCAGTAAATTTCAGCTAAAAAATTTAGTTTATCATACATAACATTGTAAGGAAATGAAACACGAAATGCAGGATCAATAACGTTTTCAAGCAATTCAGACTAAATCTAGATAAAAAATAAAACAATTAAACCGCTAACCCTTAACGGGGAAAAAAATCTACCACAACAGCAATCAAATAATTAAAAATCACATAATAAACGTATGTGTATCAACAAATATATGCATATGTATCCGTGAGAACCCTAAGCTGCAGTGAAAAGGGGGGTTAGGAATTATACCTAAACAGCAAAATCCAGTGATAGATTTTGGAATGGAGTGACTGTTTTAATCTATAGCCAAATATTGCAATTTTGATTTTAAGCAAAATGGACGGTTTAGATGGAACTCGGAACTCGGAAGATAAACTGCGCGCGTACGTTATTGTAATTCGTATGTATCGCGGGCCCACGTTCAAGCTGACATCATAATTAAACATAATTTGATTTTAATTTATAATTATTGACAATCTACATCTAACATCTTCAATATATTAAAATTGAGGAGAAATTTTGAATACCAATTTTATAATAATTAAATTTAAAAAAATTAATTTCTATAAAGATTATTTAAGGTCATCATTTGAATTCCTTAAACAATACCCATTTTTCAATTTCATGTTGAATTAATTCTCTTAATAAAAATCTCTTATATTTTAGCTATATGCCAATTAATATAGTATAATTTAATATAATTTAACTTCATTTAATATTCATTAAATGTAATACTTATTGTTTTATATTGGAGTACCTAAAATTTTACATTAATCAAATTAAGTTTAATTACTTAACTTACATTGTTGAAATTAAGTTTATCACTTAAAATCTAAGCTCACATATATAGAAGTAATTTTATTATAATTATATAATAAAATATATTAAAGGTTGCATTAATATAATGGTAGACTCATTATCATATAAAATAATATTTATTATATTTTTAATATGATTATATATGTAGACGAGTTTTGATTTTAAGTGATTAAACTTAATTTAGTTAACCTAAAATTACAAGTACTCCAATATGAAAAATGAACTCTATACTTAAAAGCTGACTACATGAAATCAAAATTTAATTAATCTATCATTAATATTACCTTTAATATATTATAATGTTATTATATACGTAAATGTATATATATTATATTATTTATTATTTATATTTGTGAGCTTGATTTAAAATCAACATTCATCTACTTATATAATTACAATATATATAAAAATAAATGGTGGAGATAGATGAGAAATGTTCAATTTATCATTTTGTCCTTATATAACATTGTCAATATTTTCATTCAAAAATTATAAATTTCATGTTTAATTAATTAATAGTTTTTAATACAATTATTTAAATACAAAGGACAATAAATCGAAAAGAAAAAAGTGTTTAAATGTGATCAACAGTTAGAAAAGAAAAAATCAATGATGGGAAAAATTATCTATTAATCCTAAAAACCTTACAAATTACTCATAATAATTAGAAGTTAATTATACTTCCCATATTTATATCCACGCACTAAATACAAACTTCACGTCTCAATTACACATTTCACTAATCCAATTTTTTTAATTATTAATAAAATTTAATATTATGTGTTCTAAAAAATAATTAATATAGTATTAGGTATTTATTAGTGCGTGTTCATTTTTGTATAAGCATAAAAATTGATGGTAATCCTGTTACTTATTATATATTAATATATAAACAAAAGAAAAAGGATTTTTATCTCAATACATTTAAATGAAGATTTTTTATTCTTCCATTTGTATTAATCCCATTCAAAAAGAAAGAAAAACTTTTATTTAAGATTTTTCACTTCGATATCTATTTTGAATGTAACATTGGTTTCTAATTTAAAATAAATGCTATGAATTAATATGACAAGTATGATTAATATGTAATTTTTTTTTGTTTCTAAATATGTTTAGATAATATACTTTTTTTTTGTTTTTATTTTTTAGGTAAAAAAGTTTATGGTATAAAAACAAGAATGAGTAATTTTTTTTTTATTTGAAAATTATTTACATACCTTTAGTTTGCTTATACATCAATATTTTAAACTTAATCAAATGTGTATCATTTAATTTGATTTTTCGTGTCTGTCTATTCCACAAAATTGGTTGATGTCATCGTAATAGTTAAAAATAGGGGTCCAACAAAAGTCTAGCATAAGCAAATCGTTACATTTCAATATATATATACGCATATCATTCATTCCGCATATAAGATGTGCAACGCACGTGCTTACTACTAATTAGCATGAAATTTATCACGTGATGATGCATATTTTACGTGAAAAGTTAATAAAGAAAGGTAATTAAGACAACTTGTAAGTGACACAACACTTCAACAATGATTTATAGGGTCACAAGCAAAGTCTCAAAATTGAGTTCATATAAGTTAACTAAAGTGTTCGAGGTTCGCCCATCTAATTCTGAAGTGCGGTCGCACGACCCGAAGCAGGGATTTATGTTCGAAATATAGTATAACCATGCGGTCGCACAGACTATAACCATGTTGTCGCATGGTACGTTTCCGGCGCGATTTTTTTCTTTCCTTATACGATTGAAACTCCTTTGGTAACTTAATTTCCACTCGATATAACTACCAAATAACGTCTAGAAAGAGGGAGAACGCAATTGGAGGCCGAGAAACACTTCTTGGAGAGGATTTGAGCGCAAGAACAAAGATTGGCACGAAGAACTTTAAGATTTCTTCAAGATTTCATAACCCAGTGATGTCTTTTATTCAAAACATGATGTATTTTGTTATTTTAACTATGTTAGGCTAGATTTTTATATGCTAGGAGATTAATGCACCATGTAGTTGGATCTTTAATTTTCTAGTTTTTGCAATTTGACATTAAAACATATTTCTTTTGTTTTGAATGATTTATATGCATTTATTGTTTCCGCAATTAAGGGCATGTAATTGTGTGAGTTTGGGTGATTTATTCTTGCATTCGAGAGAATTGGAATAGATTCGACATGACATAAATCATCGTAGGGTCCGATAGGGGATAGAAATATACCGTTATGCCCTACGTGAATCTTTAAGTGTTCATAAAACTACATGCATTTTTACATATGTACTTGTCATAGAAATATAGGTCGGTGATATGTAGAAATAGGTTTGATAGATCTCGAGAGAGAGTATTGGATAGATTTAAGAACATTGACTCGTCAACAATTGAATTATGTTGTCATATTGTGAAACGAGAGTTTAAAGTGGTAATTGCATGGAAAATCGTGATCCTAGTTGTATAATTTCTATTGATTACAACAAACGTGCGTTCTCAACAATTGATTTCATTCTAGAGTTTAAATTATTGTTTTGCATATTAATTTCAATTTAATCATAAAAAATTTTCATAATTAGGGTTTAATTAGGTCTATATTCACTTTGATAATTTAGTTTCGGTTAAGGCTACGGTAAGTAAAATTTGAACTAATCAATCTCCGTGGAACGATATTTGGACTCATTTAATCCATTTTATTTGTGTATTAGTTATTTAATTTGTTTGAATCTCAGTGCTCGTACTGGTTTTGTTTTTCAGATTTGCATGCCAAGATCGATTGGAGGAGAATTGATTCCAGCTGATCCTGAACTCGAGCGCACCTTTCATTGACTACAAAGAGATCACCGAGAAGCACAAGTACAAATGGCAAACGAACTGAACAATCCCATTATTCAAGCTAATGAAGGAAAGGCAATGGAGGAAGGAAACGAGATTCTGGGAGATTTCTTGACTCCTCAAGTAATTCAAAGTCAATCCAGCATAGTGTATCCACCGTTGGCCAGCCAAATTTTCAGTTGAAGACAAATGTGATACAGCTATTTCAAAATGGACATCAGTTCTATGGCAAAGCCGAGGAGAATCCACATACACACATATCTCGATTTTTGGATATGTGTCAACATTTCAGATATCAAGAGATTTCAGACGACGCTATTAAGCTAAGGCTGTTTCCACACACACTACGAGATAGAAAACTTGAATGGTTGGATTCACTTCTAGTTGCAAGTATTACTACATGGAACGAGTTGGCACACAAATTCTGCACAAAGTTTTTCTCAGCAGTCAAGATAGCGAAACTGAGACATGACATATCAGTATTCAGTCAAGGAGAAACCGAATCATTTGACGAAGCTTGGAACAGATTCAAAAACATGCTCCGAAAGTGCCCTCAACATGGGTTTGACAAAAAGACCCAAATTTGATTCTTCTACACAGGGTTACTTCCATACCACAAGAGCATGATGGATTCAGTATCAGATGACACAATATCTACACGAACAGTTGATGGGGCATTGGAATTATTTGAGAGAATGGCTACCACATCAGCCATGTAGTCTTCTGAGAGGGCGATTCCAAGGAAAACTCCGGGTGTCTATGAGGTGGATACTTATTCAGCAATATCTGCAAAAATCGACTCTCTGTATCACAATGTGGAAAGCATATCACAAGCAGCACAAGCGAAGAAAAGCAATTGCGAGGAATGTGGAGCTGAGCATAAAACATCGAAATGCCCAGTACTTATGCAAGGAATTGAGCAAGCAAACTATGCACAGTGGGGACAACGCCAACAACAAAACCAATATGGAGAAACTTTCAATCCCAGTTGGAAGAAGCATTCCAACTTCTCTTGGAGCAACCAGAATCAAAATAGGCCACAGGAACAATTTCAACAATAAGAAAAGAGGGCTCAATGGGAAGATATGCTAGGAAAATTCATAGAGAATGCCGAAGCTACATTTCAAAATCAAAATGCAGCCATAAAAAATTTGGAAACTCAGGTGGGGCAGTTAGCCATTGCATTTACTGGCAGAACGCCGGGTAACTTGCCGAGTAACACAGAAATCAATCCCAAAGAGCAAGCCAAAACCATTACAACACGAAGTAGAGTACAACTGCCTGAAATCCATGTCAAGAGATCGGGTGTGATTGGAGAGACATCTTCTCCTACCGAAGAAAAGATTGTTGTACAAGATGAACAACCAAAAGAATCAACTCCAAAGGAAAATTCAGAAAAGTCATAGGATAAGACCAAAGTCACAGTCAACCCATATGAGCCTCTGATTCCCTTTCCACAGCGGCTGAAGAAGCAAAAATTGGAGCAACAGTACAAAAAATTCCTAGAAGTCTTCAAAAAGCTCGATATCAACATCTCACTAGTCGATGCACTATTCCAAATGCCCAGCTATGCGAAGTTTCTCAAAGATATTATATCAGACAAACGCAAGCTGGAGGACAATGAGACAGTGATGCTTACAGAGGAATGCAGTGTCAGAATCCAGAAAAAGCTCCCACCAAAACTGAAAGATCTAGAGAGTTTTACTATTCCTTGCACTATTGGTGAAATCTATTTCGATAAAGCACTATGTGACCTCGGTGCAAGTATTAATTTAATGCCTCTGTCTGTTTTCAGGAAACTCGGCTTGGGAGAAGCCAAAGCGACTACTGTGACACTTCAGC